TCTCTCCTGGTGGAAACAATATATATATATATATATATATATAGTCTCCGCTGGTGATGTATATGCAAAATAACAAATGTTGTTTGCACCCATAAAAACAATACTTCACAGTACGAAAGCAGTTGTCTTCGTGCATTCACAAATACAAATTTTTCATTGGCGCTAGTACTAAAGTGCTTTAATTACTGAATTTGTTAACAGTGAGTGTGTTTGTTTCACTTCAGAAGGATCGCTTCAACCTGTAGGAAAACCTCAAAAACCCGAAATAACGGAAAAAATATAACATAAATATTACATTCTAATATGCTTAATGCCCTTAATAAAACATACTTTTAATGATAATTTATTTTAATGCAATGGAAACAGAGGATATAACAGACAGACAACGACCACCGCTTGGAGGGGCCCCTGGGGGGCCTCACGACGTCGGCCCCGGCGGTGCACACCATCTTCCTTCCCCCTTTCTTTTGCATCAATAATGAAACAACTGTTTTAAATTATTAATTGGCTGACGCAACTCCGAGGGTAACGCAAACAAACAGCCGCCGCAGCTGTGCTGCAGCCCGGGGGGCCCCTTTCAATACGAACCTATTCACACGTCTTTCTGTTGTACGCGGTGAGAGACACGGAGATCCATACAGCTGCTGCAGGTGCAGCAGCAGCTGCTGCAAGTGCAGCAGAAGCTGCACAAGGTGCAGCGGAAGCTGCTAGTTTTGCTGCAGCAGCATGATCAGCTGCAGCAAAGCGGCGCATTGCATGCTACTGCCGTAAAAGCAACAGGTGCAACAGAAAATGGAGTCCACCACTGACGGGATCCTAGCCTCTACTGGGCCGCCTCCCTTGAAGAAGCAGAAGAAGTGCGCGCTGTTGAAGTCAACGCTGCAGCCTAAGGGAACTGACCTCCTTCCTGCCAGCAGCAGCAACAGCAGCAGCAGCAGCCGCAATACTTTGCTGCTCAAGTCCAAGAGTCCCTTTGCCCCGGCTTCGACTTTGAATGCCTCTGGCTTCAGTTCAACCGAAGTGAGCACCAAAGCTCCTGAATTGCCGTCTTCGACTGCTGTAGCTGCTGCTCCCTGTGGAGCAGCAGCAACAGCAGGCAGCAGCATGAGCAACAGCAAGGCTGCAGCAGTATCGAAAGCGGCATTAGATATTGCTGCTGGTAAAGGGCCTACAAACAAAGCAGCTACCAGCGCAGCTGAGTCTCGCGCCTCTCAAGCAGCAGCAGGAGCACCGGCAGCAGCAAGAGCAGCAGCTTCGGGTGCTGCTGCTGCTACTGGTACTGCTGCTGCTGCAGCCCATGAAGGATTCCCAGTGGTAGTAGATGTAGAAGATGAAGGAGAGGAAGACTCTTTGCCGTTGTGCCCTCTTCGAGCCACCCTAAAGAGAGTTTGGGGGTTTACAGAATTTAGAGAAGGGCAGGAACAAGCCGTGCGGGCGGTGCTAAGGGGGAAAGATGCCCTCGTTATAATGCCAACGGGTCAGTCTAGTGTTTAGCGTTTAAGGTTTGACCTATACGGTCTTGTGTTTTGGGTTAAGGACAGGGCTTTGATGCAGAGGGAGCCTGTAGCCTCTTCAGCAGGAAGAGGATATGACGCTGCTTTTGTCGCGTGAACCCTAAACCCCAAACTCTTTACCCTTAACATCAGACCCTCAACCCTAGCACTTTGGATGCTTGTTTGCTGGGACACAGGGGGAGGAAAGTCTTTAACATATATGCTGCCGGGGTTGCTTTTGGAGGGGATCGTGCTGATTGTCTCGCCGCTCATCGCCCTTATTGAGGACCAGGTCAGGGTTTAGCGTTAAGGGCTTAGGGTTTGCTGTAGGGGTTAGAAAATCAGAAATAGCCAAATAGAATGGCAGAAAGCAGAAACCGTCCAACAGCGGCCGAGACAGAAAATGGGGAATAAAAGAGCAGCAGCACCATCATGCAGTTCTAGCCTCCTACGGCAGCAGCAACGACCAAAAAGTGTTTTTTGCTGCTGCAGCTTCGGCGTCTGCGCGCCCGGGGTCTGTCGGCGTTTTGTTTGAATTCTACCCTAAGCCCAAAACAAAGACAAGAAATCATCGCCAGTCTCCTCAACCCCAAGCAACATCAGCAGCAACAACAGCAGCAGCAGCAACAACAGCAACAGCAGCAGCAACAGCAGCAACAGACAACGGGTCCCATAAAATTTTTATTTGTTACACCTGAGCAAATTGCTACGTCCTCCTTCCAGGATGTGTTGCGGCAGCTGGAGCTGCAGAAATTACAAAAGAATGGGCAGAGCCAGCAGCATCAGCAACAGAAGCAGCAGCAACAGCAGGGAGCTGAAGGGGGTGCTGGCGTGGCACTCGTGGCTGTCGACGAGGCGCACTGCATTTCCTCTTGGGGACATGACTTCAGAGCCAGCTACAGGCAAGCTGCTCCTGTTGCTGCTACGTCTGGTGCTTCGAATGTTGTTGCTGCTGCTCTTGCAACTACTGCTGCTTTCCCGCATGTTGTGTTTTATGGTAGCCTGCGTGTGGATGCTGCCGCTGCTGCTACTACCAGGCGTTTGGGTTTGCTGCGGCGTTTGCTGCCGCACACGCCGGTGTTGGCTTGTACGGCAACAGCAACAACAGCTGTACAGAGAGACATCTGTAGCAGCTTGGAGCTAAAGGATCCTACTCTTGTTCGTTTGTCCTTCAACAGGTGGGTCTCTGCCTGTGTAGTTTTCCTCCTTTCCCCCCTGCCGTTGTCTCTCTATTTATTACCTTTTGTGCATTTACCGGCACTTGTTTTTATTGTTGTTTACTGCTGTTGTCGTTTTGTGCTCGTAGCCTTCTTTCTTCCATTTGGTTCGGTGTTGTTATTTTCCGGATGTTTTCTTCTTTCCTTCATGTGCTTCTGGGGTTCGTTGTGTGGTATGGTTATGCTGTGCGTTTGACATGTTCCCTTTCTCCCGCTTTTGTCAGTTGTATGTTGTACCGCTCTGTGTTCCCTTTTTGCTTGGTTTGCCCTATTTTGTTCTCTTTCGTTTTGTTGCTCTCCTTTCCAAAGGCCAAACATTTATTATGAAGTGAGGCTTAAGGGGCTGCCGCAGGGGGAGGTGGGGGAGGAGGCAGCGTTTGGGTGTATGGACAGAGAAGAAGAGACGGAGTTAGCTGCAGCAGACCTTGCACAGGAAATCAAAACAAACCACAAAGACGACCTCGGCATTGTCTATTGTCTCAAAAAGACAGATTGCGATGCCGTAAGGCTCCAACACACAACCACCAAGCCCTAAACCATCTATAAATACGCCAACCCACAACCGTGCAGTTTCCCCTCCTTCGGATTCCCCACTGTCTCCGTCCCTCTTTGCCTTTGCGTCTCCCTCTCCATTAGCCTTTGCCTCTCTGCCTATGTTTGCTGCGTACTGTGTCTGCTGTGTGGTGTACACCCATTGTCTCTTCTCGCCTGCTTCTTTCCATTTCTTGCTTTTTTCCGCTGTTCTTTTAGTCTTTGTCTTTATATATATTTGTGATTCCCAGGTGTCTGTGTTTTCCTAGTTGCTTCTGTTTTGTATTATTGTGTAGGTCGTTCGTTGCAGATAGTGTTTTTGCCGTCATTTTTGTGCATTGTGTGCTCAGCTGGCCGCCTACTTAAACCGCCATGGTATATCTTCTGCTGCTTACCACGCGGGTCTCCCGGAGAAGAGCCGCAAAATCCTTCAGAGTCGTTGGTCTGAGGGCTTAGGGTTCAGGGTTTTGGTTGCCACCGTCGCCTTTGGCCTCGGAGTCGACAACCCCCACGTCCGCTTCGTCGTACACTTCTCCATGACCAAAACTATAGAAGGCAAGTTATCCAAGCCTAAACCCGAGACGATGCAAAAACCAGTTAACTGTATCTATCTATGCCTTTAGAACCCACTTGTCGAGGGCTTAAGATTTAAGACGTTATAGGTGGGTGAGAATAATAAGACTCACTAGGAGGTTGAGGCTGCTAGGGTTCGGTACGGTGTCTGTACAGCTTTCTACCAAGAGTCAGGAAGAGCCGGACGAGACGGCCTAGCTGCTCGGAGCATTTTGTACTTTTCCCCATCGGACTACAAGTTGTTACAGTTTGTGCTGCAGCAGCAGCGGGAGCAGCAGCTGAAAGCAGCAGCGGCTGCTGCTGCTGCCGGTCGCCCCGCGAAGGACCTACAACAGCTCAAGAGAGAAACAGCAGAGCAGCAAGAACGACTGCTGCAAAAGCTAAAGGCATGCCTGTCTTACTGCCGGCTGGTTGACTGCAGGAGGAAGTACCTGCTGCAGCAATTTGGCGAAGCCTACAACGCAGCTGCTACTGGTACGTCTCAGCAGCCTATAGTCCCTGCTGCGGCTGCAGCAGGGGCTGTACGCTGCTGCGACAACTGCAGCAACCCGGCAGCAGCCCTTCGCCGCTCCGTCCTCCTCAGCAAGATGGAGGCAACGGTTGCTGCTGCTCCTTCAGTACGCCACGGGTCCTGGGAAGATACAGCAGATGCGCCCTTGGCTACTCTAGAAATCGAAAGGCAAGAATACCCAGATGCAGATGGAGCTAGCCCCTGGAGGGGCCCATGCGGGGGGGCCCGACGTCGCGGGGGTGCCCACAGCGAGTGGGGAAGGCAGGGAGGAGGCCGCGTGGTATACAAGAATCCCACAGCAACCCCAAGACAGTCGATCCCTGAAAGCGTCCGCAAGAAGGGGCTCTCTGCCGTCATGCAGGAGCTGGAGAGACGCGAGCAGCAGCACGAAAGCAGATGCAGCAACAGCAGCAACAACAGCTGCAGCAAGAAACACCATGCGCTCTTTGCTGAATTCCGGTCCGCGAGTAGGGCTAGCAAAGATACATCGCTGTCAACATCATCAACGAAAACGAACCTTCCAGCGGCAGCAACAACAGCACCAGCAGTAAAAAGGCCCCTCAAAACCCTGGGCCTCTGCCGCCCCCTCGGGTTGCAGCGCAGTCGTCCATCACCATAATGCTGCAGCGCAGCTCCTCATTCGGTCTGTGCTGCACCCGCTGCTGCTGTTGTTGCTGCTATAATTGCGGCTGCCATTGTTGCGGCTGCTGTGGCGTTGACTGTTGATAAACAGTCGATGGAGCAGCAGCAAGGGCAGAAACAGAAGCTGCGACGGCGTGTCAATGCACTTAACATCATCTAAGCATCCCTTCGCATGCAGTTGTTTGACTGCGAATCACCTCCCGTTGTTGGTTTGTCAGCAGCAGAACGAGGACAGTGGGAACACAAGTATCACCATCTTCTTTTACGCAAAAAGTCAGTTCAGCAGCGTCGAACCCCCGTAAGGGTCCCTCGAAAGCAAAGGGCTCCCGCGGGTCCTCCCTCCCACTGCTTACTTGGCCTTGGGGCGACAATCACCCGAAAGGCTGATGCAATGTGCAGGTTGACTCTATGCAAAAAAGCGCCCAATATGTGTACAGGCCCGCCAACTGCTACTTTTGAACATAGATATATTCGAAAAGTGAATGCACGCATTTCGATGTATACTCATCTGTACATATGCATGTACCGTCAGATCTGCGTACACACCATATGCGCAGAATGATTGTCCTGGCGAATTGTGCAACACAGCATCTAACCCCCCACTTGGGCCAAGCAAAAATATGCATTATATCTCATTTACTTGTAGGCGTATACACGTGTGCGTACACCGGAGCATACGTAGTCACAGTGTTGGACTGCAGGAGGCCAGTCAAGCGCTTTCTTCCACCCATTCATGCGAAGACTTCGGAGAATCCCCACAGGAGCTCGTGTTTATACATTTTGTCATTTGCTCGACTAGCCGCCTCCGCGAAAAGGGGCTTGTCTCGAGATAATCTGCCTGAGAGGAGGAAAAGGATCCTCCTTAAGAAGAGAGGGGGAGACACATGCCATAATAAGGATAACCAGCGCACGCCGCAGCCACGAGGGCCTGTCGGTAAACTGAAATTCCGGCAGAAGGGCTCCCACTTCTTCCCGGGGGGCTATCGGTACCTCTCCCCGTCTAGAAGGAACCCGCTGCGGCAGCACAGCCACCGGCATCGCCAGAGGGGCACTCTGAGGTAGCCTTGGAGTTTCCGCCGTTGTTATGGTTGCTGCTGCTGTAGGTGGGCCGCTTGTAATCGCATTCGCGTTCACACTGGTCCTCAAGCTCCCACTTGCAGATCTTGCCGTTGCTGGGCGTTCGGAGAAGGCATCTGCATGCATTGTTGGGGGTCCCTGACCCATAGATGCCACTACAGGGACCCCTGTGGGAGCTCCCTGCACCATGACAAGGCCTCCACGCGACTGCGGTTGAGCATTGGGCCCAAAAAACCCCGAGGTAGGGGCGGCAGTCGAATGGAGGGAGGCGGATAATCCAGTGCGGCCTGCTGGATGGCCATGGGCACTCACGCGCTGCATGGTCTTATGTAATATGATTGCCAAAATTAATTAATATAATGTGAAAAGTGACAGAAATCGGGGAAAATGTACCTAAACAAGCGAAGACGAGGAGAAAACAGCTCGGAACCGGACCAGAACCACTGGCATGGCACGTGCAAGAGAGGCAACCATTTGGTGAGGGCTCATCTCGTGATTTGCCACGAAAATGGGAAAGATTTCCTGACTGTTTCATGCCCAGTCAGATGAATTTACACCTCCAGGATAGGGTTGACTGGGCTCAGTCAACCCACAACAGCCCTTGAACCGCGCTAGGCCCCGATGCCCCACTGCACCGGCGGCCTCACTGTGTGTTCTCAGTTCTAAACAGCTACAATACGCGCATTTTATCCAATAATAAGATATTAAATGATGATGAACCACTAATGTGGGGATCGAGTCGAATTTCATTCCGTAGTTTTGCTGATAAACATTACCTCACCGCGTACGGACGGACGCCCCGCCCAGGTACCACGGCGTGTCTACAGGCCGCTGCTTTTTGATTCCTCTCCCATTACTGCAAGGTCCCTTTTAAAGGCTATACAAATTAAGAAGTACAAGTGAGAAGCATTTAATTCGTGTAACTGTTCGCATATTCTTAGAGGAAGCAACAAGGAACCTACCCCTTCTGACGGATTCCTGGAACTCGAGTCAGCAGCTACATTGCACACGGTGGTACCACATGTTGGCGTTGTAGGTGTGCTGCGTGTGCGGGTGAAATTCTGCGTCCTAGGAGGGCAACGCAACATTGGAAATAAATATAAAGTAGAATGTTTCAATGTGCGGCCAGTTGCTTTCTACAATTGGTGTACCCTTCTCAGCTCCCCTCGTGCAGTTCACGCCATTCGTCGAGAATCTGATCGCAAGGCTATTGACTAAATATAATTACAGAATGTAATGGTAGCTCCAGGTGCACCGCCAGCTAGATCCACACACACACAGACGGTAATTCCTGTGCGTAAAGAACACTTATGACCAACTCCCCCCTCTTCACTGATCGGCCAAGCTACGTATGTTCGCGTGCAGCGCTGGGTTGCTTGAGTCCGAAGTATCCACACGTTTCTGCATTTCAAAGTCATTAAGAATGCTTAAGTGAAGTGCCTCAACAGACCGGGTTATTAACATACTGGACACAATTAGTGTGTGTCCAGCATGCGACCCACCAGAAACGCTGGTGTCGCTGACGAAGAGCTGGATAATCAAACGGTGGAATGCATGTATGCATGCTATGTTTGCATGCGGCTGGCATGTATTTATCACCGATACGCGCACGCGGGCATGAAGATCATACATGCACGGATTTATCATCAATTATGTTAGCGCATGCATTACGTGCACGCGTGCTTTTCGGTGATGACGGTGGCGCCAGGTTGGTGCCGCAGGTGGCCGCAGGAATGCGGGCTTTGCTTCGCTGTAACCATCGCATCATCCTTGCGAGAGTGTCGCGCTTGTATGCGTGGGACCAGATGTTCATCTTCGAGAATACCAGGGTAACACGCTGTGGAAGAAAGATTTATATCGCTCGATCACTTCAGGTGCACGAGCATCAGCTCTGGGTTCTCCAAAAGCGTCTTGATGCTGAGCCACCCACATGCGGATAAACGAACACAACAACGGTGCAGTCACCGCCTCAAAAACAGAACATGCATTAGTCTAAAAGAGGGTGCACTGCCTTGAACATAGCTCCGCCCCTACCTCTTGCTAAATCGCGTAATGGTGGCGCCGTCGCAATGCCGGTGGTCAGCTGAGAAACTACAGTTGATTATATCCCGAGATACCAATGCAGTGCTGCTGCCGCCGCCCGCCGTGTTCTCGCAACTCACAAAACGCGGAAGCTGTTGCACGCGGCCAACCCCCACTATCACTGCTTGACCGTCGAAAAGTAAGGGGTGAATATATGTCCCTTGAATGGCAACACAACAGAACAAAATATTTCAAAACTGAATCAACCGAGCCGGAAAACGGCGATGAGTTTTGTGTTGTAACCGCGTGTTCGTCGTGAACCCCAACCCCTGAACAATCAACTTTCAGGCACGCTGTCAGTGTGGCACAGCAGCATAACCAACTTCAGTCGCATCCAGAGCCGCCTCCAACTGCAGTACCTGAAATGACGCCCACGTTGGACAAGGCGATTGTGCCTCCTGCCAAGTCAGAAGGGGAAAGGCGATTTGCCCTTGCCTGGAAACAGCACGAAAGCGCACAACAAACCGTCTTACGATCTTTGTCCTGCAAACCCGTTTTCCTGTAGACGTAGCCGAAGTTTGAATCTTCATTACATTTGTGTTAACGTGGAGACATGAAGACTAAAAGTTCACCATAGATGTACACAATCGAACAACCCACAACGCCGTGTACCTATACAGTTCTCTCAATTTTATGAAAGGTCTCCCTTCATGTTGCTACATAAACAGAAAGGTGCTTTACTGCTCTATGCTGCGTACATGGGTACAACTGATTATTTGCCGTTGCTCAATAACTGCCGCCATTTCCTAACTTACAAGGCCCTGAAGGCGGATGAGTTCTTTCTGAATTTCAACAATGGTCAGATCTTGAACGTTCTTTACGCAGGGAACAACCAACCCGCCGGGTGAATCGATCGCGACGCTGACATTATGACTGCCGAATTCCGTGTACTGAGGCAAAAATGCACGGACCTTAAAACGCCCTTCTCAACACGATAGACAAGATGTTGTTAGCTTCCTCACCGAGACACGGTGCTGCTAACTTCCTCACCGAGTTTTGAGTCTGCGTGTTGAACTTCGAATTAACAATGGGGTATTCGTTCATCGCGATGCTCATCGCTTTTATTAAGAAGGCAGTGAGAGAAATCCTGACACCTTGGGAAGCCAGTTCGTCGTTCAACACACGGCGAACTTCGCTCAAGCGCGTCACGTCGTACTCGTCGCCGATGTTCATGTGCGGCACTTTCAAAGATTCTGTCATGGACTAAACCAGCATAAATCCACGCACCACAGCACAAGTTCAAGTAAAAGCACAACGAAATTAAGGCCTCCCAACACAGCAACAGCGGAAGCAATTCTCCAGCCTGGGCAGTGGCAACAGCGCTAACAACACCGTAGCCTGATTGGTTCCCCGCTGCTTTCTATTTGCTTCCATTCGACAAAAATACCAGACGCACCCAAGGCACTTACATATATACGGTTGCAACCGCTGTGTATATGGAACAACGCAGCACACTGTGCACTGCATAATATAGATGTATATGTATAAGCACACGCATAAAAGCAGGCCGTACAGAAGCAGCAGATACTGAGACAAGGAAAAGGGGCACCAAAATTCCCACCTTGACCATGGCCTTTGAAAAGCCCTGCAGCTGGACCTCTCGGTCGGCTCGACGTCCCTGCGAGGTCTTCGGTTGCTGCGACTCTGCTGAATGCCCCTGCTGCGACTCTGCTGAATGCCCCTGCGTCCCCTGCAGCCGCACAATATCACAGATCGCTCGCTTCGTCCTTAAGAAGATATGTCACATGTGTTTTCTTGTCGGGCCTCCCCGCTGCATTCTACTAACTTAACGACAGGCAATCACACCAGACAGCATATGAGACTCTCGGCACATTTTTCTCGTCTGGAAACAAGAACTGTAATGGCAACCGCATGGATCCTCCTGGATGTTGGCAGCTACACATGTATGAGGCTGCTATCGTGATCCATTTCTTAAGTCATACAGTCGATGTTTCGGAAGATAGGTAGTTCAAAATGTCGTCTTTTGTAATAGCCCCGCGCGCACCGGTGCCCTTCACCTTATCCAAATCGACGCCTTTCTCTTTCGCTAGTCGGCGCACAGCGGGAGACGCCAGGGCCTCTCCTCCCTGTACAGATTAATAAGCAGCATTGCTTTCAACCTGGACAAGTTTAGAAACAGCAAGGCAGGGAGAGCCCACGGCTAAACACATACTAAACGCTCTTCACAGCGCTACAGCCAAGCGGCAATGAGCTGCAACAACGAAGCCGCCAGCCTTTAGAGATTGCAAATTAACACAACTACGGTCAAAATATCCGCCGGCATTAACAAGAGATTTTCCCTGTGAGGGGGACTAGGCGTAATGACAAACGTAGCAAACCGTTGTGGCTTTCCGAATGTATGCCTATAAATTATGCATCATAAACACACTGAGCTGTGGATAAAAGGATGCGTGCAAATGGTGCACTCACGCTCCACTGCGCACCCAAATCCTTACCTTACTAGAAGGCGCTGCTGTCGTTTGCTCCTGTTGTTGACTAATCGCCGCATGCTCGGAATCAGAAGATGGAGGGGCAGAACTCTGTTGTGCCTGTGTGTCTTCGACATCTGGCGAGTCAATGTCGACTAAAGGCCCCCCTACTTTAACCGTTTCGCCTTCCTGAAGTCAATAATGACGATACATACCACTACACGCGTCGTGAGACCCTTTTTCCCCTCTATAATTTGCACTAATAGAGAACCTCCCTCCAGCTTTATCTGCCACTTGTGCAGGCACTGTGTGCAAATCATCTTCGTTGCTGTTTGGCCAGCGAGCACCAAAACCCGTCAATGCACTATATAAACATGAAACCCTAAACCCCAACACCCCAAACACTGAACATTAAAAAAGGCATTTGAAAAACCTTCTGTCGCCTAATGCATTCAACAGACACGTACCTGAGCATACAGTTTCACGATCTTCCCGGAATAACGACTGGTGATTTCGACTGCCGCTTTATCTGATTGTACTTCGCATACTTCTTCCATCTGCGTTTCAGAAGCAACATCGCTTCTATTAGATGCTCAGCAGGGCATTACTGCTACTTTGGTGCTGCATTATCGCCAGCCTAACCAGCTTTATGTAAAAAGGCAAATGATATTTTCTTTACAACCCACAAAAAAGGAAGGGCCAGACGCGTCTGTCGTCCCTTTCTCATCGGTCATATATATGCGCTTGTTTGCTCAAGTCGCCTCACGTACCTCCTCCACAGTGTCTCCCTCCTTCTTGTACCATTTTGTTAATTCCACCGATGCAATACCTGGGAAGTAATGATTCGCAAGGGCAGAAAGGCGCTGCATGAGAATAGCAGCGACAGCGGCAGCAAAATGTCTGATAATGCCCAGCCCAAGAGCCCTGTTGTTATCAACACAAGGGTGCAGCGCACCTTCTCCGATGTCAGCAAGCTTGAAACAGACAATGCCGTGCCGCGGCTGAGATATGCTGAAAAGGCCCTGATGCAAGATACGCATTAATACAGTATTGCTAGCATAATCCGCATGAGTCATGAGACACGTAGCCTCCAGTATGGAGAACAACCCCATAATATGCACTTTAACCATAGCACTTATACTGCACCCTTCACGTGTAAAGACAGCAGCTGCCTGCTGATATGCTGGCGCTCTACCTCTGTAAAATACCAGCAACCACTCTCGCTACTCTCGAACCAAGAATTGTGTATACATGCACGCACATGCAAACACATTACCCGCTAGACTCTACAATTCTCGTCAAGCATGTCGTGTAGACTAAACTGGCATGTGAACTTTGTTCTGCATACAGCAACGGAGGAAAATGCCGATACATGCCGTTTAGCGCCGTGCCCAGCAGCAGCAGAACTCGCTAGGTTGCATACTGATTCACAGTCGAGCGATTGCTTCCCGATTCCGTTGCATGAACAAGAATTTAGACTTCGACGGATGTCCCAGTACTGCTCATCCACACATCCTGCCATTCTCTGCTTCCTATGGGTGTACCGCCTACCCGAGAGGAAGGCAGCTTGGGGCGGCTCTGGTGAGGGAGACGGACACTCGCGAAAGCCGCCGGGGCGATAAAAGAGCTGAAGCCGCCAGCATTTGAGGAATATGAAGTAGCCACGGCCAGTCGGCCCATAGAACGAACGACAGATGCCATCCTTGATTTATACGCGCAGTGACACTGGAACCCGCCGCGACTCGCGCGATAAACTGCGTAACCGCCTCTGAACCCAAAGTGTATTTACATTAAAGATTATGAGCAGCAAAGATAGAAATGAAATATATTCCAAGGAGAGCGATTCTTCTGTGGGCCTCCGACCTGCCGGACTTGCTCGCGTACACGACTGGATCGCTATAGCGTCGTGTGCCTGCTGTTCTGCAAAGGTTCCCCTTAAGTAGCGAATGCTTCCACTTTAATTAGCCTGTTTTCTTTGATGCTTAATCCATTAATGCGCAAATCAATAGCCATGGGCCCAGCACATGTTGCCGGTTAGGTCTCAGCTTCTGCCCTCGCCACCTATGGTATGGGTGCATTGGAGGTGCCTCAGCCGCCTGCGTATATTGCTGGCGTTTTCGTCTTAGTTTGTCCTAAAAGCATTTCTCTGTCCCCGAACCGCCTTAATAACGCGGTGTCTGGCAGCACAGTGTACTGTCTGATAGTGCAAGTAGGCTACAGAGGGCCCCCTCTAACTCGGGTTGAGGCAAGGGGTAGTCGCCTAATTCAAACTGCGCAGTGGGACTGCAAAAAATGCTAAGTCTGTTCCCCTAGGAAAAGCACTGAACTGGGACAGTTTTGAGCCTCTTTATTTTCTAACGCGTGTAAGCTTCAACGACAGAGCACCTGCTGCTAGCCTATGTCCTGACGCGCGGTGGCCTCGGCATTGGTTTACGAGCATCTAGCGCTGTAATAGCTGCATATAAGCGGGGGGCATTCATCAGTGAAAGAAAACCAACAAGGCTGTTTCAAAACTTTCTACCTACAGTGGTATTTCCATGAGTTGCCCAGTCATATTCTGCAAGGGTTTGTGTTGCATCTACTGCTCCCGCACAAACCCCTCTGGCAAGCATACCATAATTCCACTTGTTGTGCGTGCATGAGCTCTATAGGAAGCTGATTTACACTTGCTTAGCCTTAACCAGCTAACGTACTGGCAAACGCGCATGCATGTGCTTAACACCTGCAAGAGGCTACTACCCATAGTCAAGGGCACACCTTCTGCGTTCACCCAGGAATTCGACGGCGCCATTTAATGGCATTTTTATTTTTAAAACGTCAAGATACAAGACTTATTAATTTCTCAAGAACCACTGAAACATTTAGAGTGCAAACATCTCTGCATCTCCTGCGTTTAGCTGGGTGGTTTAGCAAAGCTGCTTAGAGAACACGAACAGCGAGGAGAAATAGCGCGGTAACATGTCTCCTAATTCTGGCCTCTCACCGCTACATTGATGTAGCAGTTTTTAATGAATGTTTCTAGCGATGATGTGTGTAAGGTGCATCTGCCGTAAGTGCTACGTGTGCATAATACGTGAATCCGCACATTTGGTTTACACGGGAACACTGGGGTTGAGCTTGGTCCTCGAGTTAATTAGCTGTAGAAAAACACTTAATATGTGCAGCGTGCACTGATTTTACATTTTACTCTGTGTTCAAGGATTTCAGCTTCCCTTGAAGCCGAAGCTTAAGTCAAAGGCTCATTCAAATACCCCGCAGAAAACGCTACAGCAGCACCCCGTCCTAGCAGCATATTGAACCAAGTAGCCAGTGTCCCTTTCGCGCCCCTGCCCCGGTCTAGTTATTGCAGCTTAAACAAGATAAACAGCAAAACAAACTTTTGAATTACGTGAATTGATACATACTTCTGAGGAGTCCTGGGACCTCGAAGGTCTGTAGCTGGGATGGCATTCCCCGTGCCAAGGCCCTAACGACGACATCAGGCCAGCCAGACCAGCGGAGTTAAAGCGCTTGCAAAAGGCCGCATTCGGTGTACTTCTCTGTATGTTTTCTACAGGTAACAGACATGATGCTGGTTTTTTCTGTTTTTTTTCTGAGACGTCTCACTCCCCCTTTTTCCCATTCAGCTGCAGTGCGGTCGATCTAGCAGCCATGAGGAGATCGAACAGCAACTGGAGGAAGTCGTCTTATCAACACGAAAGGAGAAAATGGCCGAAAATATTCAGTCTTACACCCTAGCAAACGAGGGAATAGATTTGACCAGTGATGCCTCACTATCTCCAGATGTAGAAAAACTTCGAGATCCAGATGAGCTGCTGGGTTCGTCTGGCGAAGCCCCCTACTACATTACAGAAAGCCATCGAAGAAATAAGTGGAGCATTGGTTTTGTTAACGAATTGTCTACCACTCAGGTGTTTGCAATATTGTTTCTGTGCGTGCTCATTTTTTCCATTGCAAGAAAAACCCTTTGGCGCCTAAATCGTGCAGCTAATATACCTGCAGAGCCGGCGTCAGCGTCACAGCTGCCCAAATTTGATGAAGTTCTGAAGGAAGCACCCAAGCATGTTGGATATATGCAACCCTACAGGAAAGTGGCCAAGGCTTATAAGAATATTGGGCCCCGCCAGGTACCCCGCAAGAATACTAAGGATCTGCTGCCCCGCAAGCATAAATTACAGTCTCCTAAACCTCTTCAGGCCCAACAGGAGGCTCCCAAGTGGGCTGAAGATTTGGAGATCAAAACAAAACCACCAGAGTCTGCTGAAGATCAGAAGCCCTGCGAGGAATCTTCCCAGTCTGCTGAGGTTTTGGCGTTCCGCAAGAGAAAAGCCAAGTCTGACGAAGATTTGCAGCCCCACGGAAAAAAGCCCAAGGTTGCTGAAGACCTGAATCCCGAATTAGAAACACCCGTGTATATTGAAAGTCTGAAGCCCTACGAGGACGAATTCAAAAAAGCTTCATTAGAATTCTTTAACCATTGGGAGTTATCGTCGCTAGTTGTAAAGGGAGCCTTTGCAAAGTACTTTACACCCCAAAACAGCAGAAGCCAACAGCGCGTCTCTGACCCCTCCGTTCTGTACCAGAAACACATATACGCGATGAGTGCAGTTCGGCGGCCGGACCCATCGGATGTGCAGGGGTGTAACGAGTACAAGTTGAACTTGCTGCTGTTGACGGGAATCTGCGGCTCGGCGGTGGAAATATTGAAAATGTTGGAAAACCTTGAGAGGCTGTATAAGACAACAAACACTCCAGTGCCAATACTAGACTTGGGCCGATCATTTAAGCTACCGTCACTGCACAGTCTTCAGCAGGAAGCGCATGTTGACGGAGTAACGGTTCCTCAGTATGTTAAAGAAACTAAAAAAATGCTTGCGGCTAAGCCTCTAGGAGGTGCATTCCCTAGTTTTGCTTCAAGTCTGGACAGTGTCTTTGGATTTGATTTTGAAAGTGGTTTGAGTTCAGTTTTCAGTTTTTTGGGTGGATTCGACACTATATTTAGACTCTTAAAAATTTCACAGAAAGTGCCCAGGTCGTTGCTTCCATTGCTTGAGAGTTTGGTTAATGAGCATTCAATATTAAAAGCTGGCCTGTCAAATGCATATGAAAAGTTCCGCCCCTTCCTGGCGGCTCAAGGAATCGATGGGGACACAACTCCTGAGCAAGTTCATCCAGTACGCCTCCTTTATTCCGGAGAGGTGTTCGATACCAATCTAGCAATCTTGTCTTCCCCTAGCAGGCATATAGATAACGAGGGAGCTGAAGAGGCATTTCAACAGCTGATAAGCTCGGGGGCCGCTTTTTGGACTACAGATGAAGTGCTTTCGTTTGTGCTGTTTTACCACAATGAGAACAAGAGGATCCCTGAAGAACTACGTAACCGCAGAGAAAACTGCGTGAAGCTCATACGCGAGAGAAAGATGGGTAGCGAAAGTGATGATTTGCAGTCTGTCGCCAGATTCCTCATCTAGTGCCTGCGTTGCAGTGGCACAGGACGAACGAAGTTATCGAAGCATTTGCTTCGACGCCAGCTGAGACAACGCTGGTGTCTTAGATGTTAGCCCGCCACATGGTCTCTGGGGTGTATTTGCGGAGACTGGATATCCTTCAGAAGCGGAGAGTTCTTGCGTTTCTCAGTAGCGCATATACTGCTTGCTACAGTGTGGATATATTTGTGGTTAGGTGCTGAAGTTAAATACACACAACAAAACGAACACAAGAAGCATGGTGGGGAGCTGCTGTTCTGCGCTCTTTGGTTTCTTTGTGGGCAACTGCGGTGTTCATGTGAATATCCACTCTACGCATTTGCTCACGTTTTTTCATCATTTTTATTCGAATGCAGCTGCGATATAGGCCATACGTGTGGCCAGCAGGCTATTGCTTATCAATCGCCCTTACGTGCTTCGTGTTTCCTCGGTGTGACTGCATAATCACTAGCTCTGGATAGACACCCTATATCAAGATGGAAGCGGCAGTCTGCATTCCGATGGACTTGCTTCTATCTACTGTGTGTGGGCATCAAGCTGCAGTCAACATATCTCAAGGCATATTTCATATGCTTTAATTTGCGTTTGTTTGTGTGGTCACAGCACACACTACGTCGCTCCTACTCTGCATTCATATAAACCTTTTTTTTGACACCACTGTAGTTCTAGTTGGCGATGCCTCCC